TAATTAAAAATTTAAAAAAATCCATGACGAAATATCGAGAAAGAAGAGACGTGGAAGAAGAATAAATTTGATATGTATTAATCTCTCTCTCTCTCTCTCCTCCTCCTCCTCTCCCCCTCTCCTCCCCTCTCTCTCTTACTATTTAAATATTTTCGTGTCTTATTAATTATATAACGAATGATAATAAATATTAAAATCAATTTTTTCCTTTTTTTCCTCTGTTCGTATGGAATTTTTGGAGAAAACTGGAGAAAATTTTTTTAGAAAAAAAACAGGGAGGGAAGAGGGGAGGTGGAAGAAGGAGAAGGAGGAGGAGGTGGTGGGAGAGCGTTTAAAATTTTTTTTTTTTTTAAATGGACAATGAAAAGGTGGCGATAAATTGATTACCTGGATAAAAAAAAACGGTTGGTCTTTTTTTTTTTTTCTTTTTCATTTTGCAACGTTGCCGTTACGTCGTGGTTTCAGACATCCCTTTTAGTTTTATTATTTTGCCCTTTTTTTATAAATGTTCGTTCTTTTAACGGTTTTTTTTTTTTTTTTTTTTTTTTACTTCCCTTTTACTTTCTCCATACATTAATCGAGTTTTAAAAAAAAAAAAATGAAAGGAGAGGAAGGAGAAGGGGAAAAAAATTCCAGAGGCGCCATTTTTTCATATAGTAATAATAATAAAAATAATAATAGTCGGGGGCTTAGAGGCAAACATTTTGATAAAAGATAAAAAGTAAATTGAATAGTAACAAAAAAAAAAACTATTTTTAGTTATAATCGTTTATCTCACTGGAAAATTTCGAAACGATTTCATTCATTCATTAAAAATTTTTTTTTTTTTTTTTTACATCTTATAATTTTCATAACTTTCTCTCTCTCTCACTCACTCTCTCTTTCTTTCTCTTTCCCACGCATTTACCCACTCATTCATCAAACGTTATTCATAATTTAAAAATGTCGTCGCAATGTTTTCTTCACTGTTTTTCTTTTTTCTTCAATGTTTTCTTCAATGTTTTCTTACAAATAAAAAATAAATAAATAAAAATCGTGTTGGCGACGATCGCGAGTTGATATCGAGTGCAAATAAAAATGATAAATCGTGGCAATAGAATAGTAGATTGTATTTCTTACACGCACGTTCGCAAACATTAAAAAAACGAAACGAGGAGAAAAATAGAAAAACATCTGCGTCGTTTTTTTTTTTTTTTTTGAAATGATTAACATTTAACCCTTTGCCATTACGTGTATACTCTAAAAAAAAAAAAAAACGTTATTCGTGTCTTCTTTTCTTCTTCCCCTATAAAAAAAACCTTACCCCTCTCTCTCCTTCTCCCTCACCCCCCGAAGAAGAAGAAGACGATTCGATGTAGAATAAATTATACGGGCATTCATTATTATTATTATTATTATTATTATTATTATTTCCTTTCGTCGCTGGAATCGACCGTGAAAAAAAAAAAAAAAAAATTAATTATCCAGGTTTTGATGGAATCGCAAAAAAAAAAAAAAAAAAACGTAATCACGAATCAAAATGAAAGAGGTGGGGAGGGAGGGGAGGGGAGAGGGTGATGAGGGGAAATTTTTATCAGAAATAAAAATGTAGATTTACCGTTATGAAGCAGACGAAACATTTTTTTTCTCTTTTTTTTCAATTAAAAAAAAAAAAAAAAAAATCACATTTCGATCCATTTTCTCCAGTTCGATCGTAACGGAAATTTTTTTCACGCCACGTCATTTTTCCTTCCAGACGCACACGCACACAAAAGCAATCGCGTTATCGGCGTTCTATTTTTTTTTTTTTTTTACTTAAACGTTATCAGTAAATAAAAATTATACAAGGGCGCCATTTTAAAAACTCGGTTAAAACTATGACATATAAAAATTAGATTTGCATTTAATCTTTCCATTAAATAGATAGATAAATTACGGGCGGTGATTAATTCCAACACCTCGAACAAACATTCCAAAAAAAAAAAAAAAAAAATGGCGCCGGAAAAAATCAAAAACAAATAAAAAATTAATTTCTATTTACGCGTAAAAAAAAAAAAAAATTACGTTGTCGTCATCATTATTATTACGATACAATTTTTTCGTTTGTTCGTTTGTTTGTTGCTTGAAATAAATTTCCGGTTTGGTTTTTATATTTCCTCTTTCTCTCTCTCTTCCTTTCCCCCCCCCCAATTCCCCGCTCCCAGTCTCGACTCGAATGTTATGTTAAAAATATGTTAAATATGTCTTCTGTCTGTAAACGGTTTTCGTTTTTCAATGTTGCCGTCGTGAATTTCCCCTTCTCCTTTCTCCCCCCCCACTTAACTATTTCCGGTTCGAATTAACTAAAAACCGGTAAAATTGCAATTTTTTTTTCTTTTTTTCTTTTGTTATAAGCACACAATAACAAGGCCGATTGTAATAATAATAATAATAATAATATTTAAATCATTTTCCGGTTTTAGGCAAAGTTCAAGGATGCTGTTATTATTATTATTATCATCACCATCACCATCAAAATCATCATCATTATTATTATTAATATTTTTTCGTTTGTGTGTTGATAATACGCCCGATATTATTGATACGTACATCGTCGTCGTCGGCATTTCTTTTTTTTTTTTTTTTAAATTAATTTCGTTTGTTCGTTTGTTGTTGTTTGTTTCGCATTGCGAAACCTCACGACACGCACTCGAGTTAATAATAATGATAATAATAATAATAATAATAATAATAATAATTTGTTTTTTTTTTTATTAACCTGATTTTAATCAAGTGCTACTACTCGTGTGTTTATCATAAACACATCGCGGAATCGTTTTCTTTTTTTTTTTTTTTAAAGACACGACGCCGACGCATTTTTTTTTTTCAACAATTATTATTATTATTATCATCATCATTATCATCTTGTAAAAATATTCAATAAATAATATCTAATCGCACAAAACCGATAATCATATGATTCGTTTTTTTTTTTTGTATGTTTTGATATCGTTTTCCAATCTTCCATTTTTTTTTTTTTTTTATTACCTGGCCAGTTAGTAGACGATAAAAATTCGTTAAAAAATTCCAGTTAAAAAATACGGGAAATTTTAAATCGTTTGTTTTTTCGTTTGTTTGTACGGGATGTAAAAAAAAATTTTCCGAGGGGTTTAATAAAAGGTCATCGAACTCCTCGAACAAAAACAAAAATTTTAAATCGTGTAAATAAATCGTGATTTGTATATATATATATATTTTTCGTGGCGAATCGAAAAACCGGAAATTCATTTTACTTAACCATGAATGAATATAAGTAAGTTTTTTTAATTAATAATGATGATGATAATAATAATAATAATAATAATAATAATAATAATAATAATAATAATAATAATAAGAAGAAGAGGGCGCTGGTGTTCCATGGTTGACAAGCCTTTTAGTCATATCGTTTTCTTTAATTAATTTTAATAGTTTTTTTTTAGGGTTTATTTATAAGTTATATGTCAAAAGTTTTGTAATTTAGTCTAGTTTACAGTGATATAATTAGTTTTTTAAATTATTTAGTAATAACTATATTATCTCAAGTTTAAATTTACAAATTGTTCAACGATTCCATGTGACAAAAGGAAGCGTGGGCAATAAAAAACCTTAGAAGGCACCTTAGTACATATAAATTAAACGGATAAGTACCTCATTTTAAGACTTAAATTTCAATTGTAAAACGTTAGGCTAACAAAGAAATTGAACACATAACCAAAAAATTTTTTTTATTTTTATTTTTTTTATATTTCTTTGATTAATTATAAGTGATTTGACTATTTATATCTTTATCTTATTTAACAAAATAAGAATTAAAATATTGTTACAATAATATAGGTTGATACATGATTTTTTCAGGGTGTAATTTCTATACCCTTATTGTTAAGTGTTAACTTGTGATTGTATGTTATTTTAGCCTTGTCTTAAGCTAACTTAATTCATTGTAGTAAAGTTTATTAATAATAACATAGTGTAACTAATACCTTTCTTAAATCTGAATCAAATTAGGAAAGTATAGTAGTAGTCTTTATATTAAGTGATATTAGTGTGAAAGGGTACAACAGATTTCTCTTTAACCAGACATCATTTAATAAATTTTGCATCTTTTGAATTACTTATAAGAGTTAAATATCATTGTCATACTAAATAAGAATAGAGGTAGTTCAATATAAATACTCATTATTTATTGGTTTAATGTAATGTATAGCTGGATATAACATCTCTGTACTCCTGTGTTAATCTACTGATTGTTTTAATACAGAATATTTTGCCATATACTTTATGCAAATCTCCATTTTGATCTACATTAACACTAGCAGAGATCAATTTCTTTTATACTACTTAATAATAGTACAGAATTGTAATTTGTATGTTGTGCATACAGTTAAGTGTAGTCTATGTAATCTCTTTTATCCTTAAATTAGTTTGTTTTGTTACTGCTTAGTTTATAATCTTGATAGTGTAATATTGCCTGTAAATTTGATTCAAGATCAATTAATTAAGTTATAAATAAGTAGCCTTTTAGTATTTGTTTCTAATGTAAAAATTGTGAAAAAGCATTATACATTTGAGGGACCACAACTTAAACAAACCTTATACAACTTAAGTTGAAGTCTAATTGCATATTATAACTAAATAGTCTAGCCAAATATCTCTACCATACTCATTGAAAATAGGGATAGCTTAACAAAATAGGTTAATAAGATAGTTAGTAATATCTGATTTAATATATCAATTGGGTAAAAAATTGGTTCTGTCTAATCCAGTTGTCTGATAACTAATGTTCTAATTGTATAATATTTAACCTTACATTAAATTGTTTCTGCCTTATTGCAGCATATTTTACATGATTTACAGCAAATTGACTTTTATAAGTATAAGAGACATAAGTGATAAGTTTAATTAAAAATTTTATAACAGTGAACTCTAAATACTGAATTAGAAAATGTTTTGTTATAAAGGTGAATGAATTTATAAATTTATATATAGGTAAAAAGAGCAAAATGAGAACAAGACAAAGTAAGAACCAAAACAAATCTTGTTCTACTGTCGACCTGAGGCAGCTCGACGAGAATGTGAATTTCACTGCTTCTGACCCTGGCCACTCCAACGATGTTAGTCACCGGAGCCCAGTTCAGGAGACAACTCGTTCCCATCGAATAAGATGGACTCAGGAAGACCTTCAAGAATTGATGTGGTGCTATTTTTACTCTCAAAAATTTGGTTCAGGATCGGAAAGTGACACCTTTAAAATCTGGAGAGGGAGAAACCCAAACAGCAGGAAGGACATGACATCGAAGAAGTTGGCTGCCCAAAGAAGATATATAATAAAAACAAAAAAAATTGAAAATGATAAATTGGAAGAAATTAAGAAAAATGTAGACTCTTCGTGCAGTAATGTTATACGAGATAATGCACAAATAATAACAGAATTAAATGAGTCTAACCACAAGAGTAAAACCGATACTGACGAGCAATTGTTGACTGATGCAGAAATGAAGAGCATCGAAGAGAGACTAATTGAAGAGATAAAAAAAGTAAAGATGTGCCCATTAATAAACAGGGAGCCATTAAGGAAAATTTACAAAAATAAAAAGGCAACTGAAGTTTTACATCTTATAGATAACACCCTCATAAATGTATTAGAAAAAATGGTAGACATTAATTTAACCACAATTAATGAAATTATATATGCTGCGGGGGTAGTTGCCACAGATATTATACTTGGGCCAAGAAAAGAAGCTCGTCATAAAGGAATGGAAACAAAAAAGTCAACATCACCAATATGGATACAAAGAATAGAGGGAAAAATAGAAAGAATAAGATTACATATCTCCCTGGTATCCGAAATGAAGAAGAATAATAATTTAAAGAAGAGGACAATAAAGAAACTGGATCACCTTAAAAGGATCTATAAATTGAAGACCATGGAAGATATAGAACTTACCATGGAAACTTTAAAACAAAAGGTATTGCTCTATTCTCAGAGAATAAGAAGATATAAGAAGAGAGAGCAGTTTTGGCGACAAAATAAATTGTTTGAATCGGACCCAAAGAAATTTTACAGAACAATTAGAGAGCAGAACATACAAAATGGATTCAGCACCTTAAATGTAGAAAAAATGGCAGACTTTTGGTCAAATATTTGGGAAAAATCTCATCCATTAAATAAGAACTCTACATGGATGAATAAAGAAAAAGAAGCACATGCCTGGATTGCTTCTTCAACAATGTCGGATGTAAGAATGGCGGATTTAGAAACATGCCTAAAAAACACGGCCAATTGGAAAAGTCCCGGATTAGATAGGGTACAAAACTTCTGGATTAAGAATTTTACAAGTACCCATAAGTATTTACTGGTATCCATAAATAAATTAATAATGGGACGGCAAGAAATGCCAGAATGGATAACCACAGGTAAAACGTATTTGCTGCCAAAAAAATCAGGAGCTACGGAACCGAAAGATTTTCGGCCGATAACCTGTTTGCCCACAATGTATAAAATAATAACAGCTATTATTGCTGAAAAGATTTATGGGCATTTAAGAAAAAATAACATTTTTCCTCCTGAACAATATGGATGCAGAAAAGGGTCTTACGGCTGCAAGGAGGTTTTATTAATAAATAAATTGATCATGGCCAGTGCAAAACAAAAGAGGAAGAATTTAAGCATGGCATGGATTGATTATCAAAAGGCCTTTGATAGTGTGCCTCACGAATGGATTATTGAGGCATTGAAAATATATAAAGTAGACCCTAATATTACAGCGTTCTGCGAGAAGAGTATGAAAAATTGGTGCACCCAGCTGGAAGTGCAAAAATACTCTTCTAGAAAAATATTTATAAAAAGAGGAATTTTTCAGGGAGATTCATTGTCGCCACTTTTATTTTGCATGTCTTTAATTCCTCTATCCAGACAACTTAATATCAAGGATCAAGGATATGAGTTGGTACCGGGAGGCAGGAAAATTACCCATATGCTATATATGGATGACTTAAAAATTTATGCCAAAAATGAAGAGGAGTTAAATAAAATGTTACGGACGGTTCAAACCTTTTCCTCTGACATCAACATGAAATTTGGGTTAGAGAAATGTGCCAGAATAAATATTGTCAGAGGAAAGTTAAAACAAAAGCAAAATATAGAAGACTCCGAAGAAGAACTTATTAAAGAATTGGACCCTGGATCATCATACAAATATCTGGGGATTGAAGAAAATTTTGGGATAGCCAACAAGGAAATTAAACCTCGATTGAAAAGAGAATATTTTAAAAGATTGAGGCTTATATTACAGTCGGAACTGAATGGAAGAAATAAGATAACCGCCGTCGGCACATTAGCAGTTCCTGTAATAGAATATAGTTTTGGCCTCGTAGACTGGACGAAAGAAGAAATCACGCACCTAGATAGAAGGACAAGAAAAATATTAACCATGAATGGTGCGTTACATCCAAAAGCTGATGTGGATAGATTGTACGTCAGCAGAAAGATGGAGGAGAGGATTAAGACAAATAGAAGCGGCACACCAGAATGCCATTATTGGAATGGGAAAATACATAGAATCCCATCAAGAGGACCCTATTTTAGCCCAAGTTATACATGCAGAAGAAAAAACTACAAAAAAAGGAGTTCTGAAAAGGGCAAAACAAATCGTCCAAGAAAATAAAGAAAATGAGATAATGGAAGAAGGGCAACTTGCAACTTATAATAGCAAAGCCCAATCTCAGAAGAAATTAATAAGCAAATGGGAACAGAAAAAATTACATGGGCAATACCTAAAAAGAATAAATGCCGAAGATATTAATAAGAAGAGCACGCACAATTGGCTACGACGTGGAAAACTTAAAATAGAAACAGAAGCGTTTATTACAGCGGCTCAAGATCAGGCATTGCGGACCCATAACTATGAAAAAGTAATTCTCAAAGTCCGCCAAGATGACAAGTGCCGAATTTGCCAATCACAATCGGAAACCATCGATCATTTAATTTCCGGTTGTCCGATACTGGCAAAACATGAATACTTAGAAAGGCACAATAAAATATGTCAATATCTCCATTGGAATATATGCCGAGAATATGGAATGGATGGATTACCCAAGGAGTGGTACAACCACATTCCAAGCCCGGTTACGACAGTAGGTCCATGCACAGTTCTATATGATCAACAAATCCACACTGATAGAACTGTGCCAGCTAACAAACCGGATATCATACTCAGGCATAATGGGGAAAAATGGTGTAAGTTAATTGAGGTATCCGTGCCGGCAGAAAAAAACACCACAGCCAAAGAAGCAGACAAAAGGCTGAAATACAGAAATTTGGAAATTGAAATAACCAGGATGTGGGGAACAAAAACTGAAACGATTCCGGTCATCGTGGGAGCATTGGGAGCCATGCCACATTCAATAAAAGGAAATTTAAAGAAGATTATGAAGAACCTAAAAGAAGAAACCATCCAGGAAATCGCACTATGTGGGACGGCCCACATTCTTCGGAAAATATTATAAATAGCACCACCGATATTCGAGTATTTGTCCCTAAGGAATCGGGTAGAGACCTGGGATAAATGCTTAAAAACCCCGACAAATAAGAGCCTTGTCGTGTTTAAGAGTGACCATAATAATAATAATAATAATAATAATAATAATAATAATACGATAGTATTTTGTCGGATTGTCGTCATCGATTAGGAAAGTTTTTTTTTTTTTTTTTTTTTTATTGTTGTTGTTGTTGATCGTGATATTAAGTACACGTTTGTTTGTTTGTTTGTTTGTTTGTTTGTTTATAAATTATTTAAAAACGCGATCGTTAAGAAATTTACAATAAAACAATAAAAAAAAAATTCTAGAACATTCTCTAAATTCGAGTTATAAAAAAAACTTTTTGAAACACTCAAAACAAAAAAAAAATTTATTATTTATTATAAAATTAAATTTATTATAAACCGTAAAACTTTTTATTTACTTATTCGAAATGATTTTGTCGTCTGCTTGTACTTTCCCGATGTTTCGATATAAACATTTAAAAAAAATTAAATGATTCGTGGTTTCCATGCGAAACGATTACAAATAACTAAATAAGTGATAAGACGATTGATTGATTAAATTATTAGTTAATCGAAAAAAAAAAAAATTATATATCGATAATTTTGTAATAGTATTCTTAAATCGATTAATCGTTGTTGTTGTTGTTGTTGTTGTTATTGTTGTTCGATAAATTAAAATAAATTTTAAATCGATAATTATTATTATTATTATTATTATTATTAATCAATATTGATTTGTATCATTCTCGATGAGATTTGCATTGAGAATCAATGAACGAGAGAGAGAGAGAGAAACACGTTTAAAACGACAGAGAGTGGGGAGGAGGAGGAGGGAGGGAGGGGGAAGTGAGGGGTTACACGCGTGATTTCTTTTCATGTCGTCGAAAGGTTAAAACGCGAAAAAAAAAATCGTAACAACGGTATTGCACGGTTCCACGTGCGTTAGAATAAATAAATAAATTACTTTTTTGGTCGTTTGTTTGTTGAAACAAACCGGCAACAACCGACAACAACCTATTTATATGTGCATCTTTTTTAAGCATAAAACTAAACAAAACTAATCGCAATGATAATGATAATTATAATTAATAATTGATAAATTTTTTTTTTTTTTTTTTCATCAGCAAAATTGAAATTGTCGTTTGCAAAATTATGCGTGCGTGTGTGCGTGTGTGCGTACGCGTTAGTGACCTTTGTGAGAAAAACACAAAACGTTTTAACATGGTTTTATTATTATTATTAATATTTAAACATTCGTGACCGAGTAAACCTTTAAAAAAAAACTCTTACGAAGTTCAATAATAATAATAATAATAATGACGACTTACGTGCAATTAACACACTTTTAAAGCCTGACGCATTTTTTTTTTTTTTTTTTTGTAATAACGGAAGAGAAAAGATATAAATGCGGTTGGTCTATGGTAATAGGTCATCATCCTAGTCCGTCCACTCGCGTGTCTTTTTCTATTTTAAATTTTTTACGTACGAAATATTATCATTATTATTATCGTAAACGAAAAAGAGAAAGAGAGAGAGAGAGAGAGGATATTTTTCGTCTATTTCCGTTTAATTATTATTACGTTTCCTCTTATTCTTTTTCAATTTGCCGATGAATTAATTTTTTTAAATATCGTGCCACGCATCATCGGCGATCGGCGGAGTCTAATGACCCGAAAATCAAAAAAATTCATTTAAATCATTTTATAAATAAATAAATGAAAAAAAAATAAAAATTCCAGTCAACGATGAGACAACCAAACAACCGAACAAACGACCGAAAGATCGACTCTCTCTCTCTCTCTTCGTAACCATCGTTTCATCATATTATTTCTCCGCCATTTTTCTTTTTTTTCTCTCTCTTTCTCACTCTCTTACAAATAAGATCGTTGCCCTCTCTCTCTCTCTCTCTCTCTCTCTCTCTCTCTCTCTCTCTACAAATGTTCTTCCCTTTTTACAAAAAAAAAAAAAAAAAACGGAAACACATGTTACAGTTATAAGAAAGAAAAAAAAATGGATGAATGAACTATACTTTTTAAAAAAAAGACTACAATTCTCGCACCTTAATAATAATAATAATAATAATAATAATAATAATAACGAGTGGTAATGAAAAACCGTTAAAAAAAAAAAATTTTTTTATTTCCAGACGTAACATGAGTGAAATTGAATTGTTTAAAAAAACATCCTAAAAAACGTAGACTTAAAAATCTTATTTATAAAAAAAAAAAAAATATTTATTTACATATTTTATTCGATTGCACAAATAGAATTTCATTTTTTTTTTTTTTTTTTTCTTTTTTTAATCTTTCATATCCGTTTTTGTTTAATTTCATTTTCATTTAACTACGTCATTCAACTAATAATAATAATAATAATAATGATAATGGTAATGATAATGATAATATGAATCCGTGAAAATCGATAATGATACAACGCACGTGCGTTTTAAAAAGTATTCGTTTACGTGTGTGTGTGTGTGTGTTATTTTTTTACTCACGTGAAAATTTTATTATTATTATTATTATTATCACTTAAATTTTTTGTTTGTTTGCTCGTTTGTTAGTTTGTTTGTTGGTTAAACGAACAAACGTTTAATCGTTTAAATTTTAAAGGTTATTTTATATATAAAACGAAATAATAAAATCGTTTCGAATAAAATTTATTCGAGTCGTAACGCAAAAAAAAACCGGAAATGATATTGATAATAATAATAATAATAGTTTTCTTTCCCCCTCCCCCCTCAGTTTTAATTTCTTACCGATGAGGAGTATAAGAGAGGAGTCGTACGTCGTTCACACAAGTTTTTTTTTTTTTTTTAAAGCCTAACTTGGAATTACGTGTAAAAATCCACGTGTTAAGTTTTAAAACGTTTTATTATTATTATTATTATTTGAATTAGTTACGCGATTTCGGAATTGGTTTTTTTTTTTTTTATTGGCTACGAAACGATCGTGCGTGAGTGAGTGCGTGCGTACGCAAAACCAAAAAATTTTCTATAAATAAATGAAAGAATAATGATGATGATGATGATGATGATGATGGTGATGATGGCGGTGGAGTAACACGGTTAGAGTGAAGGCAGTCTAAAAAAATGTTCTATAAATAACAGTTACAAGAGAATTTTTTTTTTTTTTTTCTACTTCGATCTTTGTCCCCTCCTTTTTCCTCTCACTCTCTCTCTTTCAGCGTCTCGTGTCCCTCTCTCTCACTCTCCTTTACAAAAAATTTTTTTTTACGATCGTTGAAGTTAAAAAAGGTTTGCGTGCGCGTTAGAAAGAGAGGGAAAAAAAAAACGTCAAATTTCGACGGTTTTTAAAGGCGACAAAAAAACGCAAACGTTACGCCGCGTAACGGTACTACGTAAAAAAGAAAAAGAAAATGGCGTTATGCTCATAAGGTAAAGCAGATAACAACAATCAAAGTCCGGTTAATCTTTGGACAATTTAAAATGGTGAAAGGTAGTAACGGGATGACTGATAAGTAAAACCGTGAAACCGTAAAGAAAATAATAAAATAAAAAAACGTAAAAAATTTCTCCAGTAAAAATTTTCTCCAGAAAGACGAAAAATATCTTAAAGAAAATCTTGGAGAGAAAAAAAAAGAAAGTTTAGATTTTGATTGGTTGAATAATTTAATTAATGATGGTGAAATTGACAAAATTTTTCTTTGATTTCTTTTCTTTTTTCCCTGATAAAAATATATTTTTGTGTTATCAGACCGTGAATCGATTTCAAAGTTCATTGACATTATTATTGTTATTATTATTATTATTATGAAAAAAGAAAATCACGCTGGAAAATTTTATCCTCCCCCCCCCGAAAAAATAAAGAAAAACAGTTTTTTTTTTGGGTCGTCATACTTTTCTTTTTTTTTTTTATATTTATTTTATTACTTTATTATTTTTTTATTTCTCTAAAGATTTTTCTAGAAATTTTTATTTTTTATTTTTAAAAACGGAAACGGAAACAAAACGATTTTAAATTAATAATAATAATAATAATAATCATACAAAAAAAAAAAAAAAACAAAATGTCTAAAAAAAAAATAATTTTGCGGTTGATTTTATTTTTATAAGCTAACAAAATAAAATCGATAGGAAATAACCGGACTCGTTTCGGATAAGCTAAATATTATTATCATCTGCCCCCCCTTTCCACATCTTCCTCTCCTCCCTCCCTACCCCCTCCTCCCTCCCTACCCCCTCCTCTCTCTCTTGCTCTCTTCGCGTTTTATATTTTTAAACTCGGAACAAAAAAGTAAAAAAAAAAATTTTTTTCATTGCTTACCTTTTATCGTTTATCATTTATCATTATTATTATTCTGGAGGGAAATATCTTTCCAATTTACTTTCCAATCGTCCGTCCTTCATCCTAGAAAGAGAGAGAGAAAAAAGATTTTTTTAAATGACAATGATAATAATAATAATAATAAATTTGGACCTTATCCAATCCATGTTTTGACCCCACCTAAAGTTGATTGTCCGAATGTAATAAAAATCGACGGGGAAAAAAAGAAAAATTTTTTTTCTTATATATTTTGCCAAAAAAAAAAAAAATTTAATTTCGTACCAATCCGCCGAATGCCGCCGCCATTTTAATTTTATTAAAATTACTTAATAATAATAATGATAAAACGTAATGACCGACGTGATTAAAATCACCCCTTTCACGCCTTTTCTTTTTCTTTTTTTTCCCTTTTCTTTCCTTCTTCCCTTCCTCCCCGCCCTCTCCCCTTATAAAATCCGTTACGGTTTATTTTACGCGTGTGTGTGTGACGTAATAATAATTAAAAGAATTTTTTTTTTTTTTTTTTTTTTTTAAACGGGTCGATATTAATCGATAAATCGATAAATCATTTTATAAAGTGAAACTTTTTCCTTTCTCAATGAATAACCCATAATTAACCCATAATAATTATTAAAAAAAAAAAATTTTTAATTTATTATAATAATTATTATTATTTTTTGTTTTTTTTCCAGGCCGTGGGTTATGGATCCTTCTCCAGGTGACGATGAAGCCCCCCGTGATCCGGGGGTTCTTAAAATTCATCAACCCAGTTACACGGATGAAGATTTCGAAGGTGATTTATTTATTTATTTATTTTTCCCCTTCCCCTTCCCCTTCCTAACATTAACCCCTAACGTTACCAACTTTAAAAAAAAAAAAAAATTCTAACGGATTTCATAGAGTAAAAAAACCCGAATCTTTTTTCTTTTTTTTTTTTTTTTATTCTTACGGAATTTAATCATCATTCGTCTAAAATTTTTCTTTTTTTTCAACTCTACTACTTTCAAACTCCTGGAATTAAATTAAAATAATAATAATGATGATGATGATGATAATGGTGCAACCATCGGCATTCATTCTATTAATATTTTTTTTTTTTTTTAAACGGAAGGAGGTAGACGACTGGAACTTGGAAACATGTTGACCCTGAAGGTTGTGTGGTTTCGTGAGACTTTTTTTTTTTTTTTTTTTGTAACTATTAAGAATTTCATTTTGAAAAATATTACGACATTAATAAATGTTTTTTTTTTAAAATAAATTTAAAACATCACACGCACTCACGCACTCGTGCACGCACGGAGTAAAAAAACCGTTTTTTCGAGGGGAGATAATTAATCAATAGAAAGTCAGTCATTTTAAAAATTTATCGATTTTAATTCTTACAAAACGATTAAGGGAAAATTTTTAATTTTGAAAAATTAATTTATGACGTCATCACCACGCTGGAACATGTCCGTTCCAAAACAAAAAGAAGAAGAAGAAGAAGAAGAAACAATGGATTCCCGGTTTAAAATTTTTTCAAAAAAAAAAAAAAAAAAAAAAACTGGATAAATTCATTGATCGAACGAATCGATCGATAAAATCGAAACAAAAAATCCTTTAAAAAAATTGTTCTCGTTTGTTATCAATAGAATGAATATACATGCCTGGATGCCTGGAATGTATCATCATCATCATCATTATCGTAAAAAATGCCTGGAAAAAAAATTTAAAAAAATTTTCGAATAATTTATAACGTCCACGACTTAAATAATTTGTTGGAGCAAACGTTTGTTTTCCACCAAAAAAAAACGATATTTATTATCATTATTATTATAAAAAGGAAATTGATCGTAAGTTAAGCAATCAAAATAATAATAATAATAATCATGAATCGTAATAAAATGATGATCGTGTCAAAGGTTACACCGAAAAAAAGAAAACCACCTGAACTTTGATTCGTTATTACAGGTGGTACGACGTGGAAGGAGACAATTCGATGGAATTTTTTTTTTTTATTAACAAATCCGTCAATAATAAAATTATTACTTTTTCGTTCGATCAATCATTTTTTTTTTTTTATTAGTTCATTAATAAATAAAAAGAGTTCGCTACTATCGCTAATTTTTTCCAATTATGGAAGGAAGGGAAATTTTTAAATTAAACGTGGCAATTTTTTTTTTCTCCCTTTAAACGAAGGTAATAAATTCAATCACCACCTTTTTATTACTCCCCATTTAAAAACCCTTTCTCCTCTTTCTCCGCCCCCGCCCCGCTCCCTTTTAAATTATTTATTGCGATGTTAAAATTTCAACAAAAAAAAAAAAAAATTTTTTTTTAATATGTGTAACCCTTTCGTTCGTGTCAAATAAAGGTCAAAAAGGATGTCAATAAAAGGATTAAGTTTTAAACTTTATTACTGTAAAGCCCGACAAATAAATTTTATCTTTTTTTTTTTTTTTTTTTTTTTTTGACTTTTTCAAGTTTTCTTTCCCTTTTAAAAGTCAAAAAAAACCTAACCCCCCGCTTGCCACCCCCTCCCCCATTCTATCCCAAGCGTTTGAAAAGGTTTTAAACGTCGCAATTTAAATTTAAAAAAAAAAAAAAAAAATGTAATTATTTATTTAAAAGGATAAAAGTATTATTATTATAATTATTAACGTACTTTTTTTTTGGAACCTTAAAGGTTCGTTAATTAAAGGAAAAAGAAGACAAAGAAAAAAAAATCGTGGAATTAGATTCGAGTAATAATAATAATAATAATTTTAACGTTCCGCACGCAAAAAAAAAAAAAAAAAACCTTTAATTTCAAACCGAGGATGGATTTTCATTTACGTGACCTTGAAAAAAAAATTTTTTTTTAAAATTACACGTTATTAAGTTGTAAAAAAAAATTCAAATTTTTTTCTTTTTTATGCAAACTTCCGGTTTGTGTTTTTTTTGTATTTAACGTGTTCGAAATTAAATTAAAATAATCGGGGAGACACGCAATGATAATAATGATATTAATAATGAATGTAAAATTGAGTTTTTAATATTTTTGAAAAGAGAGAGAAAGAAAAACCTGAGAAAATCTGTGTCGTGTCATGTTTTAAAATACGTATTATTTTATTTGATGACAAATGAAAGACAGGAACAAAGAGAGAGAGAGAGAGAGAGAGAGAGAGAACGAAAGTAGCAAAATGAAAGAGAGAAAGAAAGAAACAAAATGAGTAAAAAAAAAAAAGATGAAAAAAAGAGAAACAAAATGAAAAAAAAAAAAAAGAAACAAACAAGCACAAACACACACACACACCTACACGTACAGAGGTAAAAATAAAAAGAGAGAAAGAAAATTACAGAAAGAGAAAGAGAGAGAGAGAGAACGACAGAGACAAAATGAAAGAAAGAAAGAGAAAAAAAGAAAAAAAAATGAAAAAAAAGACAGAAGAGAGAGAAAAAAAAGGGGAACAAAATGAACAAAGAGAGAGAGAAAAAAAGAAAAACAAGAGAGAGAGAGAGAGAAAAAAGAAAGAGAGAGAGAAACTCGCTAATAATCCGTAAGAAAACATAATAACAACATAAATGAATTAATTTTAATAAAAATAATAATAATAATTTCGTTTGAATTTTAATACGACGTCGTTTCGACGCTGTCGCATTTCTCTCATTTTGAATCATTCATACAAAAAAAAAAAAAAAGGAATGAACGAATGAATGAATGAGTGAATGAATGAATGAATAATTTATAACAAAATAATGTTTCGGATTTACACACAAATAATTCAACACAAAAAAATTTACAAGATAAAAGAAAAAAATTACGTCATCATTAACAATAGATCTTTTGGAAAACGCGAGATTTCGCGAGATTTTGGTCGTTCTTAAATTTTTTTTTTTTTTTTTTTTTTTTTTTCCATAAATCACACAAGACATAAACAAACGAAGAGGACAACAAACGGGAATAAAACAAACATCAACATCTCAGATTTCCAACAAAAATTTTCATCAACCGGAAAAAGATAGTAACTTTTCCAAAACCGGAAATAATCAATCGATCCGCGAGAGAGAAAAATTTCAAATCTTTTTTGTTGTCGACGACTGGAAAATTAAAAATAGTTTTAACAAAAATATTTTCCAGTTTGTCCAGTTTTTATTATTATTATCAATCAATCAATCAATCGATCGATAAAATTCCCAGTTTTATCGTCGCTAAAAAAAAACCCTCAGGAGTTCTTTTGATAAAATAAACTTTAATATTTTTTTAATAAAAAAAAAAAACGGGGGGAGGGAGGGGGAAGGAGAAGACATTTTACAATTTACTAGTAGATTGCCCTGACATTTTCTTTATCATTATTATTATTTAAAGCTTTTGCTATAATAAATAATATATATATTAAACGAGTTATTGAATTTTTAAATGGGATTTTATTACTCTCGAGAAAAGAAAAAAAAGAAAATTTTTTTTATTATCGAAAATCTTTTAATGTATTTTCTTTCGTACAAAAAAAATTTATATGAAAAAAACGTGATGTTGTTTGTCGTCAAGGGATTTATAAATAAATTCAATATAATAAAACATACAAACATTAAACAAATCGATAACAAACAATTTATCCAGTTTTTTTAAAAAACAAACCCCTGTCACAGCAGTTTGTTCAAATTTAAATTACGTAATAAAAAAAAAAAAAAAAAAAAAACATTCGAGGTTGGTTGTTTGTTTAAAAAAAAAATTATTTTTTGCTGTTGTTGTGGTTGTTGTTGTTATAAAACGTTTCCGTTTGTTTGTTTTCAAAAAAAATAAAAGCACGACAAACGCGAGGGAAATTTTCTTTTTTTATTGAGTTTTCGATCGATGGATTTTCACGTGGACTTTTTTATTCGCGAATTTATCATCATCATTATTAATTTTGTTTTTTTTTTTTTCTGTTTGTTCATTTAAGGTCACAGAGCCAACACCGTGTTCGTCGGAGTACACATGCCTGATAAGAAACATTCGCACAGACGACACAGGCATCACAATAGAAAGGACAGCGTAGACGAAGAAGACAGGCCAAGTATGTTAAAAATGATTATTATTTAGAAAAAAAAAAAAAATTTATGTCGCGATATCCTCATGACGCAAAAATACAATCCCAACAACGACAACAACAACAACGACAATAATAATAATAATAATAATGATGATGATAATAGATTATTTTTTAAAGAAACGACGACGACGACGACTCTGATAAAAACAAAACAGGATGTGCGCGCGTGTGCGTGTGCGTGTTCTCTAAAAAATTCCGGCTTGAGGACACCAACTACTATTAATAATAATAATAATAATAATAATAATAATAATAATAATAATAATAATAATAATAATAATAATAATAATAATAATAATAATAATAATAATAATAATAATAATAATAATAATAATAATAATAATAATAATAATAATAATAATAATAATAATAATAATAATAATAATAATAATAATAATAATAATAATAATAATAATAATAATAATAATCGTAAAGTATTATTATTATTAATATTATTATTATTACGACTACCACACAAATCAATCGAGTTAAAGAATTTTTTTTTTTTAAGTCTTCGAAATGAAACGGAAAAAATGGAAAAATTGATTTTCGAAGCTATAAAGTGAAAGTTACCTACTTTAAACTCATATATTATTATTATTAATATTAATTAGCGCTCCCACATCGTTCCCTTCCCTCCTTCCATCTACCTCCCCCCAACCAAAAGCCATAAAATTACGCGAGTACGTTCGACCTACTACTACCTCTTCCACCTTTTACAAGACCCAAATGGAAACAAATTTGGAAAATGATAAAATTGTTGTTGTTGTCGTCCTGTCGTTGTCGTGGCATTAGATTTTTTAATAATTATAATATTGCGTCTATAGATAATTTAAAAAAAAAATTATTTACTGACTTTCAGGACCCGTGATGATGGGCCGTAGAGGAAGGCTCACGAGTATTTCAGATGACGGTGAAATATGTAAGCAAACCAAAGCAAAGTAAAAAAAAATTAAAATTTTTTTTCCTTTGCACTAACAGCTCGATAATAATAATAATAACTCTTCTTAATCTTTTTATTATTATTATTTTATTCTTAAAAAAAACGGCATGAATTTATTTATTTATTTATTTATTCGAAGCAGACGAATTTTTTTTTTTTTACAATTTTTCCGAAACCTTGAAAAATATAGGAGGTCAATCAAATGTATTTTTTTTTTTTTTACGTATGCATGATTATTTATCGAAAATCGATCGATCGATATAAATTTATCGATAGATCGATCGAGGGATCGATTTTTTTTTTTTTTATATACGTAAAAAATTTTTTTTTTGAAGTATTATTATTATTATTTTGTTTGTTTGTTGGTTTTTAATTTTTTTTTTTTTTAACGGCATGACGCTTTGTTTTTTTTTTTCTTTTTTTTTTTTTTTTTGCATTGTTGGGACCCCCCAGGTATTTGAATTTTTTTTTTCGAGTAGTCGTTTTCCTTAATATAAACACGGGGAGGGAAGGGGGGGGGCGTTAATAAAATTTCATTCTTTTCGTTTTAATAAAATTTTTGAAAAATAATTATTTCAGTTACTCCGCCGGCTCAAAGAGTTCAATTCATACTGGGAGAAGATGCCGAAGATGGCGTACACGAACCGCATCCGTTATTTAGCGAAATGGAAGAACTCGTCACGGATGGAGATCAAGCCGAATGGAAAGAAACTGCGAGGTCATATGACGAAAGCAAAATACTTTTCTCCTTCTTCTTCTTGCTTTTTTTTTTGTACCTAAACGATCATCATTATTGCTATTATTGCAGATGGATAAAGTTCGAAGAAGATGTCGAAGAAGGTGGTAACCGTTGGTCGAAACCACACGTGGCAACATTATCACTCCATTCGCTTTTCGAATTGAGAAGTTTTCTATTGAACGGAACCGTCATGTTGGACATGGAAGCAACTTCTCTCGAACAAATAGCTGATCTCATACTTGATAACATGGTCAATTCAGGGTCGCTAACACTCGAATCGAAAGATAAGGTTAGAAGAAACAATATAACATTTTGAATTTTCCACTTAAGGAGGAAACCCTGCCGCCCCCCTCCCCCAGTTGGAGGTTCTGTCAAAAAATTATTATTATTATTAACGCACGATGGTTGTCATTCAGGTTAAAGAAGTCCTATTGCGTCGTCACAGACACCAACACGAACAAAGGCGTAGAGACAACAGTTCGACAAACATGTCTCGTTTGCCCATAATAAGATCATTAGCTGAAATCGGTAGAAATCATTCGTCGTCAAAAAGTAAGTAAAGAAGAGTAAGAAAAACAACAACCTAAACAAACAATGTTTGTCGGGTATTTTTTTTATCGATCCTACAACACTCACAACAAACAACAATCGATGGTTTTACTAAAATTCATTATCAACAACATAACGAAACGATTGTTAACTTATTTCTTTAAAAACACTCGACAAACACGCACGCGCGCGCACACACACACAAACAAACAAACAAACAAACTTTTAGATTTATTTAACGTAGAACAAACTAAACATAAAAAATAAATAAATTTGAGTTCGATCTTCCGGCATTTTATTTTGACCCAATTATTATAATTTAAAAGCGTTTGTTGTTGTCTTTTTTTTTCACTTAAACGCCATCTTTAATGACCTTTTAACCTTTTCAATAAAAAAGGGAAATATACTATCGAAAGTTGTTTTTGAGTTTTTTTTTTTTTTTATGAATCATGTTTGCAGCTCTTCATTTGACGCCCACGACAAACACTCAAGTTGTTTTAAGAAGTAAAAATTCAACAACCGTTAGAAACGCAACACAAACAGTTTTATGTAATAAGAAAAAAAATAATGATTTTGATAATATTTATTCAGGTACAAACACACACTTTTATCCTGGTTGTAGTTGTTGTTGTTTTTGTTGTTTTTATCGTCTCGTGCAATTATTACCGAAAAAAAAAAACAAAATTGCATCGAGAAAGTGAAAACACACACAAACAAACAAACAAAACACATTTTGATTGATTCGTAAATGATTTATTTGTTAGATATTGTTTACACTCTAATTCCACTTCATTCTACTTCCACGTACGTACAGTACACAAGCACACGCGTTTTTTTTTTTTTTTTTAGCGTAAAATAGTCGACGTACAATTTTTTTTTGAAGGAACAAACAAAAAAAAAAATTCCAACGACAAACAAACAAATAAACCGAAAAAATTTAAAATTGTCTTCTGCTTTTTTTTTTTTAATTCCTGTTTTGTACATACAAAAAAAATTCCTTTTGCTTTGTACATACAAAATGGCGGCTGCTGCTGACGAACAAAAAATTTATTACTGTATATAATTTTCATTAGGAAAAAAAAAAAGAAAAAAGAAATTATTTAATAATGATAATAATAATAATAATTACACGCAAGAGTAAAGGGAATTCAATTACAGTATTATTATTATTATTACTACTTTCATCCCTTGTAAACGAATGCTTTTGTTTTTTTGTAGTACGGCTCTAATTTGTTGTTGACGTGTAATTAAAATTTTTCCACAGTTGAGGATGGTCCTCCACCGAGCAGCGGTTCTTCTGCAAATCTTAACAAAACAACAACCGGTCAGGAAGGCGGTGTGACCGGTGGTCGATTTCTATCTGTCCCCGGATCCGGTAACCAATCTCACTCACTCACACACATACACGCAATGGCTCTTTGTACAGCTTAAAAAAATTTTTTTTTTTTTTTTTTTTGCATTTCACTTTTTATTTATTTAATTATTTAATATGTTTAGCTTATTTATTTATTCCTCCATAGTTTTTTTTTTCTATTTCGTAAATTTATTGATTGTTTATTTATTTTTTTAAAAATATCCATTTCCGGTTTTTTTTTTTTAAGTTTATTTTTTATTTTATTTTTGTATTGTGAAAATATTATCGTGCATTGCTTATTGTTTAATTTAAACCGGAAATAATTTTTGTTGTTTAAAAAAAAACCCTCACGCATCCACCCACATCCACATGATGTACTTCATTTATTTGTGTTTTTGTTAGATGCAACCCCTACCCCCTACCCCCCAAAAAAAAAAAAAACAATACGACAGAAAATTTTTATTTTTTATTTTATTTTATTTTTTTTTGTAGATGCAACAACCTTTTCATTATTATTATTATTATTATTATTATTACTATTATTTAATTAATAAAAAAAAAATGTTTTTAGGTGCGAGTAACGTACAATCGAATATTGATAGAAGTCCAAGTTCGACATCGATTTCGAGAAATCATAGCGCTTCCGGTTTAGGAGACGGAAATGGAGATCATACCAAGGTTGGTTTTTCCGTTAAAATGTCCGACATTTTGTTTTTTTTTATAATTGTTACCGTCGAGTTAAAAAAATTTCAAAATTTTTGTTTGTTTGTTGCGTTTAGGGTAACACTCATTTCATGAGAAAAATCCCGGCGGGAGCGGAAGCTTCAAATATTTTGGTGGGCCAAGTTAATTTTCTAGAAAAACCTTTGTCGGCTTTTATAAGGCTTAATCAGGGTACCTTTTTGGGAGACCTAACGGAAGTACCCGTACCCACGAGATTTTTATTTATATTATTAGGACCCACGGTAAGTATTTAATTAATTATTTTTAACGAAATAATACGAAATGACGAAAACAAACAAACAAACAAACAAACCAAATTTTTCCAGGGAGGCATAACAGCTTTTCACGAAGTCGGTCGAGCAATGGCTACTTTAATGTCCGACGAAGTTTTTCACGACGTGGCTTACAAAGCAAGAAATAGAAATCACTTACTAGCAGCCGTTGATGAGTTTTTAGATGCCGTAACCGTTTTACCACCCGGCGAATGGGATCCCACGATAAGAATCGAACCACCGGCAGCTATTCCATCTCAAGTTAGTTTGCTCCTCTTCGTACTCCCCCCCCTCACACTCCATCAGTAAAAAAAAAATCAATTAATTTTTTTTTTGTCAAACAAAGGACATCAGGAAGAGACCACCGGAAAAAATACCGGTCGAAGAAGATGAAGAAGAAGAAGAAAGACGTTTGAGAGAAGAATCTGGACTTTCTAGAACCGGAAGATTATTTGGTGGATTGATTAATGACGTCAAAAGAAAAGTGCCATGGTAATTATTAACCGGAAAATTTTCTTAGGGTGGTTATGGTGGTAAATAACAACCCCCACTACTCGTTTCAGGTATTGGTCGGATTTTAAAGACGCTCTTGCCATGCAATGCATAGCCTCGTGGATATTTTTATATTTTGCTTGTTTATCCCCGATAATAACATTCGGGGGTTTACTCGGTACGGCAACTGGAAACAATATGGCGGCTATGGAATCTTTAGTTTCAGGTTTTGTTTGCGGTATGGGTTACGGTTTTTTTTCCGGTCAACCTCTCACCATTTTAGGATCAACGGGTCCCGTTTTAGTATTCGAAACGATAGTTTACGATTTTTGTCAGTGAGTATTATATCCCTCTCACCCCTGCCCCCCTGGTCGGTGTGATAAATGACAAGTAATTGATTTTTTCTTTTTTCAGGGGGCGCGATTGGGATTATTTATCTTTTCGTTTGTGGATAGGTGCTTGGATATTTGTCATATTACTCGTACTCGTGGCCGTCGATGCGAGCGCTTTGGTCTGCTACATAACACGTTTCACGGAAGAAAATTTTGCAACGTTGATTGCGTTCATATTTATTTACAAAGCCGTGGAAAACGTTATAAAAATCGGTGTCAAGTATCCAATAGAAACAATCGGAGGACCGGCGGCTAACGTTTGCATTTGCGAACCTCCTACTACCCAAATGGGTGGTTCCCCACTCACGGATGATGTTATGAATTGGACGATTTTGACAAACGAAGAATGTTTGGTAATTTCATGTTTGCTTCGTTTTGTTTTGTTTTCATCCCGTCGCAAGTTAACATAATAATAATAATAATACTCTAAATATTTTTTTCCAGAGAAATAATGGAACACTCGTCGGACACGGTTGTCCTGGACAAGGATACGTACCGGATGTATTCCTTATGTCAATTTTACTTTTCATCGGAACTTTCTTAATATCCGTCGAATTGAAAGATTTTAAAAACGCTCTTTTCTTTCCATCAAAGGTAACGTTTGTTTGTTCGTTTGTCCGTTTGTTGGTAATTTCAAATAAGAAAAAATCTATTATTTTTTCCGTTTACAGGTAAGACAATTCATAAGTGATTTTGCAGTTATAATAGCAATTTTATCAATGTCACTCATCGATTGGTACGTCGGTATAAAAACACCCAAATTACAAGTACCTAGCGATTTTAAACCGACCCTTGACGGAAGAGGATGGCTCATACCGCCGTTTGGAAAAAATCCCATATGGTCGTGGGTCGTGGCCGTGTTACCCGCTCTTTTGGGCACCATACTCATATTCATGGATCAACAAATAACGGCCGTTATCGTTAATCGTAAAGAGAATAAATTAAAAGTAAGTGAGTGGGGAGGAGGGGGGGAAAACCTCTCGTCCCTTGTTCAAATCTCTTTACTTATATTTATTTTTACGTGTGTGCGTTTCTCCTTTCCAGAAAGGCTGTGGTTACCATTTAGATTTATTTATATTGGCGTTACTTATTCTAATATGTTCCGTCATGGGACTCCCGTGGTTCGTTGCAGCCACCGTGTTATCAATTAATCACGTGAATTCATTGAAATTAGAATCGGAATGTGCTGCACCGGGTGAAAAACCACAATTTTTAGGAGTCAGGTAAATTGATGACAAATCCATTCGCATTCTTTCTTTTTATGCTGTTGTTTTTTTTTTTTTTTTTTATGTTTGCATATATGCGTGTATGCTAGGCTACTATCGCAAAAGCATGTAACAATTCATTATTACATATAAATTTTTTTTTTTTTTTTTTTTATTCTTTATTTCTCGATTATTTAGAGAGCAAAGAGTTACTCATATATTAATTTTCCTGATGATTGGACTGTCGGTTATTTTAACACCCGTATTGAGTAATATACCAATGCCAGTTCTTTTTGGAGTCTTTCTTTACATGGGTGTGGCATCGTTGAAAGGTTTACAATTTTTCGATCGAATACTCATTATGTTTATGCCGGTCAAATACCAACCCGACTACATGTTTCTCCGTCAAGTACCGCTTCGAAGAGTTCATCTTTTCACTGCTATTCAATTAATATGTCTTATTGCGCTTTGGGTCATTAAATCCTTTAGCACAACTTCTATATTGTTTCCCCTCATGGTAAAAAAAAAAAAATTATTAAAAAAAAAATAATAATAATAATAATAATAAAAATTGTTTAAAAAAAAAAAAAAAAAAAATTCATTATTTTGAAACAAATATTTTTTTAAAATTTTTTTTTTGTTAATAAATATAAATAATAATAATTTTTTTTTTTTTTTTTTTTTTTGCTTTACAGTTGGTAGTCATGATTGGAATAAGAAAATCGTTAGATTTTGTATTTACACGTCGTGAATTAAAAATATTAGATGATGTTATGCCTGAAGTAACGAAAAGATCGAAAGAAGATGAATGGAATTTAAAAGAGGGGCGGTTTTAACGATGATGGGAGGAAGAGGAATTTTTTTTTTTTTTGGGAGTTTCCATTAATTTTCTTTTTGTTTTTGTTTTTTAAAGGGAGACAATCAAAATTTAGAATTTCCACCGAGTGGAAATTTACAGATATCATTAGCAAATGGTAACATAATGAAAATTCCACTGTCGTCGATAAACATTTCGGAAGAAGTTAATAAATCAGGCGTTTGGAAAACCGTTAACGACAGCAATACGGATAAGAGTAAAAATCACAGCAGCAAACCGAGGTATCATTTTTTTTTGACCCGGTGGATTAACGGGGGGGGGTGGGGAAAAAACAATCATTTTTTTTTTCTTTTAAAATTTTCCAGTTCGAAATCCAAGAGGCGAGGAAGTAAAAAAGATGCACTCACGGAAGAGGAAAGAAGACGTTTGTCGACAATGAACGAAGCCGAAGAGGAAGAAGATGCACGTTCTGGAATTACGATTAAGGTGGGGGCCGATTCCCAGGTGGAATCGCAGGTCTAGCCCCAGCTCCCGGGTTTTCAAGCCCGGGCGCCCCTCGCTACGGAGGACTGTGAGTATAAAAAAACTCTCTCTCTTCCTTTCTCCCTCTATCCTCCCCACCCCCCACATCTCTCTCTCTCTCTCTCTCTCTCTGGACACATGGTGGCTTTCCATTCTACTTTTCATCTACTTCATCGATTCGAAACTTCATCGAGACTTCATTTACGAAATTTTTTTTTTTTTTTTTTACCTGCTCGTTTTCTTATTCGAAATACGGTAATTATACATACACGTAATGCATCTTATGTACATAAGCAATTAATTATTATTATTATTATTATTAAAAATCACTAAACAGCACATTAGTTATTCTATAAATATATATTCGTGTTTTTGCACATCGTTATCATTCGTAACGTGCCAAAATCTAACGATAATTTTTTTTTTTTAGGTTAATCCAATTCACGATTTACAGAACAACAACAACAACAGTAATAATAATAATGATGACGCAAAACCTAATGGAAAACATGCAGAAACTTCGGTTTAAATTCAATCGGATTTTCTATACAAAAACAAAAAAACAATTTTCTCATTATTATTAATTATTATTGTTATTAAATATTTCGTTATTAATTTTCATAGCGTATGTAAATTTTTTTTTTTTCGAGGATTTATTACGTCATCACGATGACGTAATCACATACGTTAACCTATTTATATAATTAAATAATTAAATTTTTGATTTCGGTGTCGTCGGCTTGAATGAAACAAAAACAAAAAAAAAAAAAATAAAGAGTCAATATTCACGATGATGATGATGATGATTACTATTATTATTATTATTAATATTATTATTATTAATATTATTATTATTACTCAAAAGTTTTCGTCGGTTTTTCCCCTTTCTCTCCCTCCCCCTCCCTTCAAAAAAAATAAATGGGGAAAAAAAAGAAATTTTTTTTTTTTTAATAAGTGGTCTTATTAATTAATTAATTAAACATATTATTATGTACGTATACATAAAATCAATTAATAGTTAATAAATAAATAAATAAATAAATAAATAAATGTTTAAATTCGGTTGTTGGGTTTTTTTTTCGGTTTCGACATGTAATAATAATAATAATAATAATAATAGTAATAGTAATAAATACTCTCCAGCAATAAATATATATGAAAATGATTTAATTAATAAATTATTATCATTATTAAAAAAAAAATTAACCAACCATATTAAATTTTTTTTTTTTTTCAAAAGTAAAAGTATTTAAGTAATAATAATAATATTAATAATAATAATAATAATAATAATAATAATAATAATAATAGTTTTTTCGCCAGGAAAGTAATTAAACAGTATTACATGTTAATCGAGGTAAGACCTTCGTGTATGTGCCAACAATTTCTTTTTTTTTTTTTTGTTTGTTTGTTTATTTAAAAGGCAAGAATTGAATTTGTTATTGTAACACCCTGTATAATCATTTACGCTGTATTATATTTAAAAAAAAAAAAAAATTAAGAAGAAGCAATTTTATTGTTTTTATGTTTCATTTTAATTAAAAAAAAAAATAATATACTTAATTTCTTGTACTTATTTAAAGTCATCATTATTTTTTTATTTTAATTTCCTTTTTCCTTTACCCTTTTTTACGATTACCTCGTTTCCGGTCAAATTTTACCCGCGAAATTTAAATTTAAAAAAAAAAAATTGAAAATTAAAGGAAAATTTTTTAATTCCCCGTTTTAAATACACGATTCGTTTGTTTCTTTTTTTTTTTTTTTTTTTTTTGATTTTATTACAAACAACCACGCGTGATAAAAATTGAAATTCGTTTAAACAAAAGAGTTACCAACAAACAAACGAGTAACAACAAATACATAAATTAACGGTTGTTTGTTTGTATTTAAATAAAATACAAACGGTGGAATTTAAAAAACAAAAAAAATTCCAAAAAAGTTATATAAATGAAAATTTATGGAAAAAAACATTTAATAATAATTTCAAAAAATTAATAAATTAACCGGAAATACATTTGACGTCATTCATTTATGACGTCACTCAACGGTAAAACATTTAAAAAAAAAAAAAAAAATTTTTTTCTTTTAATTTTCAATTTTTTTTTTTTTGCAGGTGTGAAAACAAATCATTTTTTTTTTTTTTAATTTTAAAATAAATTTCTGACAAATTTCTTTCGTTTGTTTGTTTGTTTGTTTGTCGAAACAAACGAGAATCGTTATTGAATCGAATTAAAAAAAAAAAAAAGAAAAAAGGTTTTCGTTTTATAAATCAATACATTTATAAAGAATCCAATCAAATTTTAATTTAATTTTTTTTTTTTTTTTTTTTTTTTTTTAAGGTTTGGGGAGGGGGAGAAGGGAAAAGTTATATTTTCTAACGATTAATCGATACATCGATCGATCGATCTTTCGCACCTTCTTTAATTATAAAGATAACAAATCATTTTAACAACTCGGTTAAAAAAAAAAAAAAAATCTTGAAAATTTTTTTCATTTTTTTCGATTTAAAAAAATTTAATTGATATAATGAAAGAGTTTACGCCCTACGAATTTATCATCATCATCATCATCATCATCATCTTTCGCACCTCGTTATTGCCTTTAACTTCTTTATTGCCAACCAACCTGCCCCGGGGGGGAGGGGCAGGTCGGTCATATGTTGAACCCTTACCGGTAACAAAATTTACAATGATTTATTTGACTCGTACGCGCAATTCATACGATTTTCCGTTATAAGGGATGGTAGCGGCGAATGTTACCCTTAAATAACTAACGGATTTTTTTTAATTGATTGCTCCCGAAAATTAAAACGAACCTTCATCCATCTCTCCCTCTCTTTCTCTCTCTCTCATTTTATTTTCGTTATAAATAATAATAATAATAAACGAATTTACCGTTTCCGTAAAAAAAAAAAAAAAAAAAAAAAAAAAAAAAAAGAAGTGTGTAATTTTCATCATCTTCTTCTTTGTAATTAAAAAAAAAATAAAAAAAAATTGATGAGGAGAAACGAACGTTCTGAAGCAGAAGAAAAAGAAGAAGCAGAAGACGTAGCAGAAGAAAAAGCAGACGAAAAAAAAATTACTTAATTCGTTTCTTGCTTCCATTTTTCCATTCATTGATAAAACAAATTTTTTTTTTCATAAATATCGTGCGTGTGCGATAAAGTGGGGGAGGGGTATGCGGGGGTGTGCCGGCTGCTACGTGACGGGGAGACGGGGGAGACGGGGGGTGATTGAAGATAAATAAAAAAATAAAAAATCATTTTGTTAACAAAAAAAAAAAAAAAAAAAAAAAAAAGTGCGTTCAAACCACGCGTGGCGCCAAGTTTTTTTCATTGGCCCCTCCTTTTTTAATTTTTTCCCATTAACCTATGACTCTACCGATATTATTATCATTATCATTATTATTATTATTATTCATTTCGGACCGTGAATGAAAATAAAAAAAAGAAAAAAAAATGGATGATAAAAAGGTGTAATTTTTTTTTTTTTTTTTAAATAGAAAATGATAAATAATATCAAAAAAAAAAAAAAAAAAGAAAATTTTTTTTAAAATACGCATGCGTTTGAATTATTTACGCGCGCGTTTTTTTTTTTTTTTTATTTAAATATGTAATACCATATAAAGACTTGTTCGATTTTTTTTTTTCTCTCTTTTCTACCTAAATTTATTTCTACGAATTTTTTTTTTAAATTTAAAAATGGCGGAAATATTAACGTTGTTCAACTCGTCACGCCTACGTTTTCCCTACAAACAACAAAAACAACAAAACCGCCTGTCTAATGCCAACAACAACTGAATTTGTTGTTGTTTTTGTTATTTTCGGTTGTCCGCGTTGATTGTTTCAAACGTTTAATATAAAATTAATTATATTTAATATATTCCAATAGGATTATCATTATTATTATTATTATTATTATTATTATTATTATGAGCACACACCTATTTTTTTTTTTCTAAACCGATTTGGTGGTGGCGTTTGTTTTTGTTTGAATTTCAAAAAAAAAAAAAAAAAAAAAAGGCGCCAAATAATGACGGAATTTTAAATTTTATTTTTCCGTCATTTTCATTTTCATTTCCATTTTTTTTCTTCCTATTTTCTTATTTTAGCGTTTGTTGTTTGTTGTTGTTGTTGTTTTCACTAATAAATTTACATTTAAACAAAAAAAAAAAAAAAAACGTGAGAATAAATTTGAAATCCGAAGGTTTTAATAAATTTTAATTTGATAAAAAAGGATTTTGCAAAAAAAATTCCCCCTCGCTCCCCGTTTGTTTGCCCAGTAAATTTTTTTAAATTGTTGTTTGTTTCTGTTTGTTGAACGTGTTAAAAATAGAAATAAAAGACAAAGAATTTTTTTTTGTTTGTTATCGTTATCATTTATCTATTCTGATTTATTTAGAAAGTTTTTTTTTTTTTTTTTTTTATTAATTGATTCGTGTGGAAATAAAAAAGGTTGAAAGGTTCGTGCTTGTACAGAAGGTATATCATGCCCGAAGGATATTTATTTATTTATTTATCCGAATCGAATTTATGGAAAATATCGGTCAAGGAGGAAATAGAGCAAAAAAATCAAATGATAATAATAATAATAATAATAATAATAATAATAATTGTAGTGGTAATGGCGTTTGATAAATAAATCGAAACTGCTAGAAAAAAATGGAAGATATTTAAAATTTGAAAAAAAATGAGAAAGAAAATATTTTAGATTCGATGGACTCTCTCTCTCTCTTTCTCTCTCTTTTTCTCCTTTGTACTCCCTCTCTCTCTCTGTTTTTCTCCTCTGTACTCCCTCTCTCTCTCTTTCTTTCTGTTGTGTCTGCTCTCTCTCTTTTTTTTTCTCTGTTGTCCTTGCTCTTTCTTTTTCAACTCTTTCTCTTTCTTTCTCTTTTTGCTCTCTTTCTATATACTCTCTCTCACTCTCTTTACACTCTCTCTTTTTACACTTTTTTTCTTCTCTTTTTCTCTCTGTTCTCTGACCTTTCTGCTCTTTCTTTGA